ATGACCATGAAAATTATAAAAATTACATTTAATCATTTTAATACTTAATGAACTCTTTAAAAGCTTTTTTTTCATTAATTAATTCATTAAATTTTTTTTCAAATCAAAATTTTCTTTTTCTAAAAATTCATTTCTACTTTGAGAGGTTTTTAAATCTATTTTCAACTTTTCATTTTCTTTTTCTATAATATTTTTTGCATTCATCAAAAGATCATTTTCAACATTCAAGTTGGAAATCACTTTCTTATGTTTCAAATGCATATTTTCAAACTCAATTACTAAATCATTGTAAGCATCTTGTAACTTATCAAAAGTTTAAGAGTTTGATTCATAAGAGTTAGAGGTTACCTTTGGTTTCTCAATAGCCATGAGACATTATGCATGTTGGTTGTCAGTTTTTCTTTCATGTAGCTCTTTCAACTTTCTCCATATCTCATTTCAGGTTGAGCATTTTGAGATCAAGTTGAAATTGTGAGAGTCAAGAGCTCTATAGAGAATGTACTTAGCCTTTGCATCATCTATCACTTGCCTCATATAGTTTGCGTCATTTAAAAGAGTTCCAAGCCCTCTTTCTATCATTAACCAAGCTCTAAAATCTTAGACCGTTATGAACATCTTCATCCTTCTTCTCCATTCACAAAATTCAAATTTATCAACCATAGGAGTTTTGAGGACTTCCTTACCATCTTAATATCAAAATTGAGCCATAGGATCTTTACTCAATGTGGTTAAACCTACAAAAATGAGACCAATGCTCTTATACCAATTGTTAGCTTTTTAGGTGAGATGGTGATCCAAGAGTGGGGATGAATTGGATTTCTCCAAATTCTTTTCCAAATAATGATTTCAATATAGTTGAATGGAAATTAAAACAATAAGCACTTTTGATGGAAATATAATGTAAACAATAACAATTAATGAACCTAAAATCAAATATAAACAATAAATTGTAAGGAGAAAGGGATAGAGAAATCAAATACAATGATTTGTAGAGGTTCAATCCTTCTCCATAAGGCACCTACGTCTTTTCTTCTTGGTTGTCCACACCAAGGCTTCAATCCACTATTCTTAAAATGAAAATACAACCTATCTTTTTCTTTCTAAGGCTTAAGATAAAAACCTCTACCCTTATAGTATGTTATCCAATCTCACTACAAAGCTCTCAAGACGATACCTCACTTTTTATTCTCTTCCACCCTTGTATATCAAAGGTAATTTTGCATACAATAGAACAACCTCTCTAAGGCTAAGTGTTTGCTAAGTTAAAATACAAGAAAATGATGAATAAATAACAAATAAAAATTGGATACAATAAATACAAAGTTATGGACTTTGAAGCTCTAAAAACTCTTGATTTTTTTGAGAGAATGAAAATATGGCTTGTTGGCTCTTGCTCTCTTGATTCATCAATCTTTTTGGTGTGTTGGAGTGCTCAATTTATAGAAAAATTGAAAAAATAGCCATTGGGGAAGCTTGAGAAGTAAAGTAGCCATTGAATGCATGAAAAAAATAGCCATTAGTGTGATTCCGCCCAGACCCGATCGATCCCTTCCATGAGGGGATCGATCTTGTCAATGGCTGGGTGATTGTCTCCTATTTTGCACTCCACTCACTAATTTGATCATATCTTGAGTTTTATAAATCCAAATCACAAACCATTTAAAGATTTAGAAACTAGACTTAAAGGGCTTTCTATCCATGTAAAATTCATCACCTAATATTGAGTACGAATTATAGTGAATTTTCAAATTTACCCCTTGTGCAGTTTTTTTGACAACTGTAGAGTATCTAGTAAAAATTTAAAATCTTTTCTTAAAAAATTTGAATTTTGATTTTGTTTAATCCATTAGAAAGTAGACTCAAAGAGCTTTCCAACCATATAAAATTCAAATATTAAAACTTTGTGAATTAATACAGAAAAATAAAATAAGTTCAATGTTGGAAAACTTTATTCTTGTAAAATAGCTTTCTTAAGTTAATCTTTTTCTCAAAACTAATATTATCAAAATTGTATTAAGTCTAAAATAAATAAATTCACTTTAAAAACAACAATTGGACTTTCATTTAAGCTCAAATAAGTAATCTTTAAAGATAAATTTGGTTTGAGAAATATGAAACCAAGAAAGGTTTGTTTAAACTTTGAAAATCATATTATTTATTTAGTACCAAAATATAAAACTTAAAAACATGTACTAAATAAATCTTTTTCAAAATTTTGATCAAGTTTATTTATCTTTAATGTTTTGTCATTTCAAAATAAGGATCAATTCAAGGCTAACACTTTGAATTTTTTGTTTTAATATATTAACTATATATGTTTATTAATATTTTATGAGTTAATCATTTTATCAGATAACATAATTAAATCTTTTTAATCCCTTAAAATAATCATTTAATTTATCATTCTTATAGTTTAGTTTGATCTCTATAACTAATTCTCTTTTTTATTTTTTTTCTATAATTTTATAATTATTATTCTCATAAATAAAAACTAATATCAAATCAAATGCAAATTTATTGCATTCCCTCCATTAATAATTACCACAATGTGATTTATTTAACATTTTAATTAGACTTTTCATTTATAGAATTAGATGACTCAAAAGGTGATGAAGCTACCAATAGCCCAAGATTGGGTCCTATCAAATTGCTATAAAAATTATTTTTCTTGATTGAAACAATAATTAATTTAATTTTCTCTCAATTTTTTTTCTTAATATGTATATAAATGATTAATTTATATCTCAAGGTTATTCAATCTTTTTAATAATATTAAATTACTCACTTTTTTATGTCCTCAAGATGATTAAATAACCTAATGTGAATTATTCTAAGTAAAAAATTACCAAGGGAAGCAAAATTAATTATTTTTGGTAAATTTTTTTTGAAGTGTAACAAAATTCATAAAAACTATATTTTGAATGCATTTATGCCAAAGTTACATTTATCCATGAAAATTTTGTATTGTTAATGTTGGAAATGAAATCATTATAAGTTGCATAGGTTTACATAACAAGTTTGCTATTTTTAGAATTGAAATTTTCTTAGGAAAACATGACAAGTATTAAGGTTGGGAATTTATTTTATTTTTTAAAATTATGTATTTTAATATTTTATATAATGAAAATTTATGAATAATAAAATTTTTAAATAAAAAAAATTTTAAGCTTTCAATTGATAGAATATAAAATTATATTCAATTGATGGAAACACTAGTGAAAAATTATTCTACCCAAAAAAATAGACAAAAAAAATTGATTAGTTATGCATAACTCTATCATCTCCATATGGCAAAGAACGTTAGTGTTATATGATGTTTTAGTGAAAAATATATAAATATATTGATTTCAAATTTCTTTATATATTGATTTCAAATTTCTTTAGGATTAATATGAAATTTTTTATTTGAAAAAAATATTGTGTACTCATTTATTTTCTCTTTTATATCAATTGAAAAATATTATGTGTTATATAAAAATTATCATATTTAGGTCATATGTCTTTTTCATTTGAGATTGTCATATTAAGTAATCTAAGTTCAAAAGAAGTGAAATTCATCAAATTAATTATCACTTTGTATCTAAAATAAAAAAATTATTATAAATTATAATTTAACTAAACTTAAAAGTAATTTAAAGGTATTTATTAACAAAATTTATTTAATAAATTTTTATTTAATTATGTAATTAATATTTCAATCATTTTAAAATTTGACTTTTTATAATTTCAAGTTGGGTTTTATTAGAACCACCCAAAAGAATAAAAGGTACAAATAAGTTTTTAAGAAGAAAATTGATATGGACGGTAATGTACAAACATATAAAGTCAGGCTAGTTGTGAAAGGGTATAATCAAAAACAAAAAATTGATTTTGATGAAATCCTTTTACCAATGGCCATGTTAAAATTCATTAAGATTTTGCTTGCTATTGCCGTATACCATGATTATGAGATATAGGAAATGGATGTCAAAACGGCATTCTTTAATGGGATTTTTGCAAGAAGACGTACACATGACACAACCTGAAGGTTTTGAATCCAAAGAAAATGCAAACATGGTATGTAAGTTTCAAAAGCTTATCTATTGATTTAAGTAAGCATCAAAGAGTTAGAATATACGTTTTGATGAAGCAATTATAAAATTCGAATTCATAAAAAATATAAATAAACCATATGTATATAAGAAGATAAGTGAGAGTGCAATCATTTTTATAGTGCTATATGTGGATGACATATTACTTATAGAAAATGATATACCTAGGTTACGATATACCAAGATTTGGTTATCAAAAAAGTTTTCTATAAAGGATTTGAGAGAAACAACATACATCTTAGACATAAGGATCTATAGATATAGATTAAAGAGGTTACTTGATCTCTCACAATCCGAATATATAGACAAAGTGCTAAAGATGTTTAGTATGAAAGAATCCAAAAAAAGATTTTTGTTAGTGTCGCATGGAATAAATTTTTTCAAAGACATGTACCTTAAGATACAACTTGAGAAAAATAGTATGAATAAAATTTCATATGCTGTGACAATTGAATCTATTATGCATGGTATGCTATATGTAAACCTGATATTTCGTATGCTTTAAATATAACAAGTAGATATCAAATGAATCTAGTTAAATGTCATTAGAAGGCTGTGAAAACAATCCCTTTAGAAGAATTAATGATGTATTTCTTATCTATGATAAAGTTGAATCCTTATTTAAGGGAAGGCCGAGCTATTTGTTATGATCGTAGGCTTTGTATCAGTAGTTGTGTCTGAACCCAAACCCGTTATCTAATTTAGTGGCAAGGTTTGTTGATTTCGTGCAATATAATTTTTTATCAATTTAAATTTAATAACTTTATGAAACTTTATCATATTTTTTATCGAATTTAATTTTAAAATAGAAAAAATATTTTATTTATCATCAAACTCGTTTTGGGAGGGGTTAGTTCGATTCCTAAATCCTTTATTTATTTTTAATATTTTTTTTTAAAATGAAGAGGCAAATCGTTTATTCGATTTTCTTTTTTTATGAAAAAATAACAAAGAGAAAAAGCCATAGTCCATAAGCAATCTTCTTTCCGAAGACGACGAGAGGACGCGTCTTATCCTCGTAATCAAAAATCAAGATCAAAATGAAAAAATTAAACTATCTATAAATTTCTCCCTTACTACTTATTCATATAATAAATTATAATCCAAGATCAGAAAGCTTAATCCTGGTTAATTTCCTCCTTTTCAAACTATCTATAAATACCGAACCATTTTGCCTTTTAGGTCTCGATTTTTGCTGTGATCTCATCTTTCCATCATGTCTATGCTGGATTCCTTTTTCAACAAAAGCTTTAAAGCTGCTAAATGGTAATTCTTCATTTTCCCTTTCTTACTTTTGAAAATATTCGTTTTTTTTTTTTTTTTGGTGTTGATCAATATTTCAATTAGTTGTTTACATAATTATTTAGAAGATGTCGAGTTTGACATTGTTTTGGGGGTGTGGGTGGGAAATATGCAGCAAAACTTTACTAAAGTTAACAATTCCGCGGATAAAATTGTTGAGGAATAGGAGAGAAATTCAGATAAAGCAGATGCGCCGCGACATTGCCAACCTTCTTCAAACTGGCCAAGAGGCTACTGCTCGAATTCGGGTATATATATGATTTTGATCATTCATATATGCTTAATTTTTTATCATCTAAATATGCTGTTTTTACTATTTAGTTAAGTGCAGTATATGGGTTTTTTATCATCTAAATTTTTGCTGTTTTAAGAAGGTAGTCATATTTCTTTACTGCTTGTTTACTTTTACTCAACTTCTAGAACATGATTACTTATAAAAGTAGTTGATAGTTTTTAAGAGGCAATGCTTGGATTTACATTTCAGGTGGAGCATATAATACGGGAAGAGAATATGATGGCTGCGCAGGAGATCCTTGAGCTGTTTTGTGAGCTTATTGCCGTCCGTCTTCCAATCATCGAGACTCAAAGGTTATTGCCTTACCTTTCTGCATTCTTTTTTTTTTTTTCCTTAATGTTTAAAATTTTGGATCTGCGTATCAATTGCTTTGCTTTGGTTCTGAACCTGTTTGGTAGGCTTGATTTCGCAATGTAACTAGGTTGCAATATCAACATAGATTAGATTTAGGTTGAAGGATGGGACCAAATATTTGGTGGAGTTTGGAAGTTGAATGAAAAAGTAGTTTGACCTAATTGTTCAGTGTGAGGATTGTGTCAATAAAAGAAGAGTGAGTAACCTAAGCCCAGGGTTATGTGACAAACAAAAATATCGCATTCTAAATTTTTATTTGAAATTATCGATTTACCTTGAAACTCTAGACTTATTACCCCATTTAAACCTTTAATGAGCTGCTAATGCCTAATGTTCTGCTATTCTCATACTTCAGTTAGCCAGCATCCAACATGGGAGATGATAAGGAAAAGTAGGGAAATGAGGGTAAACTGCCACAAAAGGGGGGGGGGGGGGGGAGAGGGGATGAAGTGGCATACACATGCAGAGAAACATGACTGCTAAAGTATCATCTTTGATATGGTTTCTTTGAATGTGATTCAAAAATTCGCTATAATTGTCATGATATCTTTCTACTATGCATTGCCATGCCAATATTAAAATCTTGGGCTGCTTTGGCAATTGCTTAAGTGAAGCATTAGCTCTGCTGCCTGAGCTCAAGTGCATTTTGGAGGTAGATTAAGTCTCTTCCTAGGTTATTATTAGTGCATGTTACTTAAATAATATAGCTTGATGCAATTCACTAGAACTTTTACAGTGTCAATCCAACACTGTCAATGTTGTCTGCACTTGTTGCTATGACTAACTCTGTTAGATTAATGAATGACATTGTTTGCAAAAATGCTGTGTTTGTATAATTTGGATCTCAGATCTATTATATCCTCCTTACACAAGAAGTTGATGTGCTATAGAATTTTTGAAGTTGCTCAAAAAAAAAGGTTAAGAACACAGTGCTTCTTGTACAATGAAAATTTGAAGAATCATCCTTTTTCAGGGAATGTCCTCTAGATTTGAAAGAAGCAATATCTAGTGTTTGTTTTGCTGCACCAAGATGTGCCGATCTACCAGAGTTGCTGCAGGTTCAAATGCTATTCATTTCCAAGTATGGAAAGGAATTTGTATCAGCTGCAACTGAGCTGAGGCCAGATTGTGGTGTTAATCGTCAGGTATTATAAGTTTTTAAGGTTGACCGCTTATTTTCATTTTGTATTTTTTTTCTTACAGTTGATATCGTCATAAATTCTAAATGCAGTTGATAGAATTGTTATCTGTACGTGCTCCTTCGCCCGAAACAAAGTTGAAGCTTCTGAAAGAAATTGCTGAAGAGCATGAGTTGGATTGGGATCCAGCTTCCACTGAGACTGAGTTTTTCAAACCACACGAAGATTTATTGGTAAGTAAATTTTGGAGACCATGTTTACTCTTGTTCTCTGTTCCTGTCTCATTGAATGTGTCTTTTTTTTGTCAGAATGGTCCAACACAGTTTGTCAGTGGGTCTATGCTGCCCCTTCCTGCAGAGAAACATGATGAAACATTGAATTCTGCTCCTGTTCATGCCCAAAATGAGCAGCCTGATTCTGAAACAGACATTGAGCCATTAGATTTTCCTGAAGTTCCTAAGGTTCCATTGCGGCCAAGCACAAATGCCTCATCAGCACAAGCAATTGACCCACCTTCACCAGCTACTCCAGACCCTGAAATTGATCGTGGATCATCTAGATATTCTGGAGCTTCTGGATACGTGTTACAAATGTCATCTTTGATGCCCGATATGCTAATGCAAGAAAACTCAGTTGCTAAAGAAAATGAAATGCCCAATGATCCAGCTGGAGCCAAAGAAAAAAAACAGTTTCTGCCATTCATTTCTCCTCCATCAGTATCTTCTGCATCAATTTCTGCAGGACCAAGCGATCCACCACCTGCTATTTCGAGGACAAAAAGTGAGGCCAATGTAGATCTACAGGATGTTTTAGCTGCTGCTCAGGTAGCTGCTGAATCTGCTGAGCGTGCAGCAGCTGCAGCTCGCTCAGCAGCAAGTCTTGCACAGGTCAGAATTGCTGAACTTACCCAGAAAAAGACTGACCAGGTCGTTGAGAGTTGCAGCTCTGAGAACCTTTTTCATACAGATATTCCTCATCAACCAGCTAGTACAGAAAAGCCAAATTTTGATAATCAAAGCTCTTTTAGTGATCCTGATGATGTTTTATGCTCTCTGGACTCCCATCTGGTACATCAGGAACAGGAGCACCAAGGATCAGAGATAGCAGATCTTCCTTCAGTCGACAAACTAAAAGTAGGTTTTGATTCACCAGTTTCCAGTGAACATGTTCTTGAACAAGACCATCTTCAACATCAACCGCAGAGATTACCTTCAATGGATGATGAATTCTTCTCATATCCAAACCTTTTTTCCAGGCAGAATTCAAACCTTGGATCTGGTGGTTCTTCTAAAGATAATTACCATCCTCATTAGTCATTATTAAGGCTACCATGCCTGTTCAGCTTATTTTGGGTCTTTCCTTGAGTGGATTTGAATTAATATAACAGTTTTACTATGTTGTGTTAAATCGTTTTCTTTGTGAAGTATTGAGGTTGTTAGATATCCTAAAGTTTAAGTTTGTGTATCAAGGCTGTCCTGGTACAGCAAAAAGAAGTTTTAGCTGCCCTTTTAAAGTTGAGAAGCTTTCTGAGAAATCTTTCACTGTACTGTGGTTCAAAACAACCGATGCTTTGGAAATAAAAGTTTCTTTCTCTCACTAGCTTCAATAAGGCCATTAGTAGTTGAACGTGTTTTAGAATTTCCTTTTAAACTGTAACTATAAAAAAAAAAAAAAAGGTACCATAAAAGAATTTAACTGTAAGTAGCGAGGTAGAGAAAAGAGACAGGAAAGCCAAACCCCATTTTCGGGCGATAGCGGTGATTAGAAGCATAACACCCTAGTTACGATTGTTGGCTCAAACTGACAATCTCAAATGGCAAAAAAAAAAAAAAAAAAAACCCCACAACACCTCTAGGCTGCGTATGTAACTACTGATTACAGAAAAGAAATACTCAAGTTTAAGCCATGCAAAGCTATAAACACGTACTGGCATTCAAAAAAAATTAAATCCCCTAGAAAATTCCATGCATGGGATCCCAAAACCCCTTTGGCATGTCACAAACTGTATGGAAGAATTAAACTAGGAGAAACGACGTGCATATATGGGTTAGGCTGCCGCAGCTGCAACTGTCTGGAAACATCATGAGCATGGCTCCCTCAAACTGCAGCAGAAGATACAAGTTGCACCTCAACAAAGCTAACTATCCACAAAATGTAATGAATACAATGCAGAATGGACATACAGGAGACATAAATCAGGATATGGTCATTAAATAAAAAAAGAAAAAAAATTATCATAAACAATAACTAGTGAAAACTTTTCCCTCTCTTTTCTGTAGCTATGCCATGGTCACCTCGGACCAGATAACTCAACAGCATGCAGATTGTCGGTTGAGTCAACGATCCAATCAGAATTAGGATGAGGGGCCAGCTCCACCTCCTGCCGTAGCACTTCAACCTTTTGCCACTCATCCCACCTCTCAGCTAACCCATCACCTTCAAGCATTCTTACTACTTCTGACATCTTCGGCCGGTCCATTGGGGAACCTTGTGTGCATAGCAAAGCAACCTGGATTAACTGCTCTACCTCAGTTTCGACATAATTGCTCTGGAGATCAGGATCAACTAGCATTTCCAACTTCTTCTCCTTCAGAAGTCCTTTGACCTGAAAAGAAAAAAAATGCTCAAGCGAATCAGCTCGGCTCAAGGCTTAGAACATTTAGGCTAACCTAGTTTTTTTATCATTATCTCAAGGCATCAAAACTACATCAATCCAACTGGTTTTCACATATCACCAAGGTCAAGACATGAATAATATTGAGAATCAGGCAGGTGTCAAGCAAGCAATTGAACAGTTGCTGAATTAGTATTTAAGCAGATTAGAGAACAGATTTAAGCAAATTAATTAGAATGAAGATTAAGATAGCAAAAAAACGAAAACATTATATGCATACCCAATCAAGCAACATGACATCATCATCATTTGCAAGCCGAGCAAGATCAAAGGCCCGCTGTCCTGTGATAAGCTCCAGAAGCATGATACCGTAACCAAAAACATCAGTTTTCTCTGAGGATTTTCCAGTAGAGAGATACTCTGGAGCAATATGTCCAATTGTGCCTCGCACAGCAGTAGTTACATGGGTATCCTTGTAATCCATGAGTTTAGCCAACCCAAAGTCACCAACAACAGCTTCAAACTCCTCATCCAACAAAATATTTGCAGCTTTCACATCACGATGAATGATCTTTGGGTCACAATGATCATGCAAATAAGAAAGACCTCTAGCAGATCCCAATGCAATTCTCTTCCGTGTCGGCCAATCAAGTGGTAGTTGTGATGGAGGGCGTTCTATAAGAATGCATCAATAAAACATGAAAATTTACTCAAGCTGGAAAGCAAGGCTAGATGTTGCACTGATTATGATTATAACAATTTCAACAAATAAACCCCCCACCCCTTTCAAAGAAAAAATGAGGTATTGGAGAACAAATGCTCATTGGCTTCACCTCTTAGACATGATGCAACACTTCCATTAGCCATGTAGGGATAAACAAGTAGCCGTTCAGTTGGCGTCATACAAAACCCACGCAGCCTGAGGAGATTCCTATGCACAGCCATGCTGATCATCTCTACCTCTGTTTGAAACTGTAACTCCCCCCCAGGTGTACGCTCTTCTTTCAATCTTTTCACAGCAACCAGTGAACCATCAGCTAACCGTCCTTTGTAAACCTTACCAAATCCACCTCTACCCAGAATGTTTTTGTTGCTAAAACTATCAGTGGCAACTTGTAGTTCTCGCAGTGAAAACCTCTTAAGCTGCCCCAAATGGACTTCTGGATCCTCCTCAGCTGCAAAGAGATGTAAACTGGTGAATATTATAACTGTCACCCCAACTTGAACCCTTGAACCCAGTAAATTTTCATTTATAGCACTAACCAGGTACATCAAAGAAAAATTCTTGAGGTTTCCGCCGACGCCACCATGCAAATGCAATTGCAGGTGCAGCAAACAATAAGGCAGCACCTGCTGCAACTCCTCCAGCTATTGCACCAGTAACACTATTCCCACCTAAAAAATGATATGATGAAGAAATTAGAATATCCAATGCTTACGTCTTGGCAGAATCAAAGTTCATAAGGACACAGTTCATTTGAACTTCAGAAGTAAAGAACTGGAGTGCAAGCTGAGATGAGATTCAACCAGAAGAAAAGGGGAAGGACATTACTTTCAGCTCATTGATGATACGTACATGCCACAAAATTAGAGATTATATGGGGGATTAAAATGCTAAAAATCAATTGGAAGATTATTGTACATTGTCAAATGGAACTAATAGAGTCTACTTGACAGCAAGAATAGTATAAAAAAACACTGCATAAAGAACCATGAAAGGCAGCTCAACAGATTCGAAATATTTCACATGAAAGGAAGATTACTAGGTGAAGAAATTGGTGGTGGTGGAACAAAAGGAGGAGGAGGAGAAAACGGAGGAGATCCTGGGCAAGGACGTCCAGTAACGGGGCCACACAGATCCAAGTTGTTAGCAAAACTGCATATGGAACAGCAAACACCTAAGCAAGGTACCCAAATTTGTCAGCCAAGTAAAGCAGCATGCAGATCACAAAAAAAAAAAAAAAACAAAACCTGATGGGTGTGAATAGCGAGAAGGAGCCATTATCTGGAACCTCTCCAGAGAGATGATTATTTGATAGATCCCTGCATTTCACAATGCAATTCAAGGATACATAACTTACGTACTAATGATTATATCTTAGAAGGGAAAAAGGGGGCAGAGTGAGATATCTTGACATAAGAAGTAAGGTTGGAACTCACAGGACTTGAAGTGCTGTAATATTAGTTAATGACATAGGAATAGGACCTGTCAAGCTGTTGTTGTTAAGCCGGCTATCCTTGCACAAACATTTCAATAACAAAAGAAGTTAAGAGCTAAATAATTCAAGAAATTCTATATTACGCATACTTTGACCAACAACAGCTGTAATAATCACACTTAATTACTTAAACAAGAAAAGCTTTTTGTTTTATGCATCAGTTGCTCAACCAGTATCCTTTGTGTAGATGTGAGTGAATGTATGATACTTGGAAATATACCAATGCCAAACTTGCAGATCATTTTTGCTGGTTGGAATTAACCATGGAAACTGTTAAACTAACTTTTAAATGTCAAAAGAAGTTTCCATTACTCCTGGATTATTTGTAAACTGAAAATTTAAGTAAACATCTTGCACTGAAAACTTGACCAAAGTCCAGATATTTGTAGTTGATGAAATGAAAAGCAATGAACTTGTATATGCTGTAATATATTATGAAAATACTTTCTGAATACTAAAGGTGGGATGGGGGTGGAGGGGGGCTGTAATATCTTATACTTGATTATTTCTTAAAATAACAAATACTAGAAAATAACTTGTTTATGTTCCTTTGTCTATTCTAAGTTAGGTAAACTTCAGTTTGGTACCAGTTACATAATTCTAGAAATAAAGAGTTAGATTCTCAGTGCAACTCAACATGTAATAAACAAATCAGCTGTCATACCCAGAAAAAAAAAAGGGAAAAAATTAGCAGCAACATCAATATACTTACAGGAATCGCAATTTTGACAGCCTGCCCAAGGATTCAGGAATAAGACCACTGAAACTATTCAAGTAAAGATCCAAGCTCACCAAGCTAGTCAAATTCCCAAGATCACTAGGAATTGGTCCACTTATATTATTGCTGTAAAGTTCCCTGGCATAAAGAAATATGTCTCAACATGCAAAAGAAATGTAATGAAATTCTAAGACAAGTAAACTGTACAACAACTTAATACTAGGATTTGGATGCACATATTGTGGGGAAATCCTAAAAGAACAGGAAGTGGCTTTCTGAAACCCATCATATCATTAAAAAAAAATATATCCTCTTGTCATGTTCAAGGGAAACAAACCAACAAGTCAAAGGGGGCAATAAGATGATTTACATAGTTCCACCCATCCCCACACAAAGCCCACCAGAAAGACCATCTTAATAACTAGACAAGAAAGAATGAATGTAAACTAGCTCCAAAATGCTTATTAATTCCTTCACTCGTCTTCACCACTATGCGTGTAATATGGGCACCTCATTTTGACAAGGGAACATACTTCCAGTTAGTAAACATATGTTGAGAACTATTTGATCCTCGTCAATAGCTACTTATTCCCAGCTGATGACCTATATAGAGTCAAACCCTTGCTTAAGAAAGCTTGTGAACCTTAACCGTACCATAAACATGAAGATCATGACAACTTGATTCTACAAGGAAAGACAATTTTCTAGTTCATTATAAATGACACCTGAATCTAGAGGTAGCCAATATGACCAACCCCATATTAAAGAAATAAGTATCCATTACAGTTACTCACAGACAGATTGATTTCAGCTGCCAAAACACCAGCAAAATCAACAATTTTAAATTTATTTTATACACTTTATTCCACTGGCAAAGGAAGACTCCCATTTGCCACGCATAGAGGAATTATAGGTTAGCCCTTTCTCAGAAATATGAATTGAATATGTCAAAGAAGTTCGATAAACTAAATGAAGCAGGTGTGACACTAAACAACTTCCTACCGGCCAAATTATTAATGAAGCTTATCTAATGTGACAATCATGG